ACCCTTTCTGTTAGACCGTAACATAATGACAATAGTTCAAATATCCATATTGTCAGTGAAAGGTTAAATGAAAAGAAAACTTTTCAAATCATATTTTAATAACAATAATAACAATATACATATCATATATGTTTCAATATAAAACAAGAATGGTAAAAAAGTTTTCAAGAAATCTTACATGTAACAAACTATTCGTTTCGAGTCCCCAACTACAATAACACAAGTACAGTCTGATGTAAGAAATGTTGAGGTGAATGCATATATAAGGGTCTGGATGGGGTTTACAGAATAGAGAATAATGGGCAAAATGTGCAGAATAAAGGGCTAGAAAATAAAACAATAGAGAAAAATAGGCCAACAAAAATAAAGAATAGAGAGAATAACAGGCAAAATGTATAAAGAATAGAGAAAAATGGCCTAAAAAATTAAAGAATACAGAAACGAAGGCCCCCCATCCACATCCTCATATATATGAAGTCAACTTGAAGTATCTTTTGAAGATGCATAGATTGATCCAATGATGTTTTTTTTTTGCATATTCAGAACATGTAAATATTAACAATAAAACAAATAGTTCAGTTCCGCAAAGTTGGTCTATACTGGGGGTGAATGGTTGGAATTTTGACAACCACTGATAAAAGAGAAAATGTTATATCGGACCCGCAACAAGCCACGTTCGGAACCATAAAACAGTAGATGCATACGTTCTAAACATGTATAGAGCATGGCACTCTTCATACACGAATCATCGGATTTAACGTTGCATATTCCAACCGGACGTTGCTACGTATTTATACATCACGCGCAGCCGAACGAACACCCCTAATTAGCATGGGTTATATGACCGGATTAGAGGACTCAAAATTTAACCTCATAGCTTTACCCTAGTCAACTCATGGCCGGTTTGATATCAAGGTCTTACTTTAACAAAGAAACATGCATTTCCTAACTATTCATGTCTATATATTTAATTATCAAATAAGCGTTTAAAAATTAATAAACTGTTATCACAGAGATATGTCTCGCCTTTATTGTAATTTTGATAATGCAAATGTTTAAATTAAAATAGCAATACTTTAACATGTAAGTTATGCAAATATTCAAAGTCGATGAACCATGACTGAAGGTACATGGCTAAACAATCTCCATGGAATGAGATGTGCCAATGCTAATACAACTGCATACCAAATACCATTGACTTATTATAAGTCGTTCCCTTTAAACAAACCTAAACACAAACATTAACTTGTAAACTATGTAAAAGTTTCAAAGTCAATGAACCATGATCAGGGGTGGGGCTATATAATCTCCATGGAAACGATACTTGCAAATGCCAATAAATTTGCATACCAAATATCATTGACTTAACATTAGCAGTTCATCTAATCACAAACTAATACATGTAAACTAAGCAAAGTTTCAAAGTAAATAGACCATGTCTGAGGGGGCGGGGCCAAATATTCTCCATGGAAATGAGATGTGCTAATGCTTATACAACTGAACACCAATTAACATTGGCCTACCACTAATGGTTCCCCTTGAACTGACCTAATCACAAACTAATACATGTTGACTTAGCAAAATTTTCAAAGTCTATAGACCATGACTAAGGGGGTGGATCCAAATAATCTCCATGGAAATGAGATTTGCCAATGCTTATACAACTGCATACCAAATATCATTGACCTACCACTAGTGGTTCCCCATAAATTGACCTAATCACAAACTAATACATATAAACTATGAAAAGTTTCAAAGTCAATAGACCTTGACTGAGGGGGCGGGGCCAAATAATCTCCATGGTAATGAGATGTGCCAATGCTAATACAACTGCATACCAAATATCAATGACCTACCACTAGTGATTCACCATGAACTAGACCTAATCACAAACTAATACATTGTTGACGCCGTCGTCGTCGCCGCCGCCGCCGCCGGAAACAGCATACCTATGTCTCGCTTTTTGACTCCGTCAAGGCGAGACAAAAATGATTTCAAATCCTATAAACTAAAACATCAATAATTTCTATCAATCATTACAAAGTTAGGTTAACGAACTTATAATCAAAGTAAATATGAATGATGTTAGTAGTTACATAATTCATACACACACACACATCTTAAGGAAGATTTAAGGTCAATGGTTTCACCACATGAAAAGTGTTTTGTTAGTCATAATCGGAAATCATATTATCGATGCAATACATTGTGTGTTGGTAATGTAATGTAACACTACAGGGAGATAATCACGTTCTATTGTTAAGGAAATATTAAGCTTCTCAATGATCAAAAGAAGTGTTTGTCAAACTGCTATATATCCAATGAAATTTTTCCGATAAAGTGTGTGGTTCAAGTTTTTTGAAGTTTTTATTTTTTTGTCTAAGGGTCAAAGTATATATTTCCGATAAAGTGTGTGGTTCAAGTTTTTTGAAATTTTTATATTTTTGTCAAAGGGTCAAAGTAAATATTTTGTCAAAATTTTATGAAAATTAAACGAGCCGAATTAATTTTAGTCAAGGTGTTTGGTACCACCTTATATAACCAGTACACAGCCAGTCACAATTCAAAAGTTATTTGCAAAAGTTATCTCCCTTTATGAGGGTTATTTTTTTCAACTGTCTTTTTGTCAATCTCTGTAGGTTACAAGGAAGTAATTATTTACATAGGCGACAATGGTAGCCTTTTTTGGTCCTGCGTTTTCACTATCAAAGATCCATAGAAAAAAATGTCGAATTCTGAATTATCAACAACTTTGGGTGTAATTGAAACTGCAAAACACATATGGTGCCGCAGCTTTTTTGATAGAAAAATTGCATTTTTTAAGGGTACTCAACGGTTCCGGAATCTTCGAAATAGTATAAACGAAGAACACCCCTTGCTAAATTTGGCACAGAAAATGTTGCTCGTCACAGAGAGTTTTCTCTAAATTTCTCGCTATTTCTACACCAATGGCCAACACTCATTTCTCACTATTTCAATTTTGGTTTCTAATTACAAGGGCAATAGAAAATAAATTTACTTCTACCTATTATCATGGATGTAAAATCTAGGTGGCGCCAGTCATCTTTATTTACTTCCTTTTAACCTATACTGACATATATTGAAATAAAATCGGACAATCTTTACATTAGTCGATTACTACTTATATACTCCTGCTGCTAAAGTTCAAATTTTTGGATTAAAGGTACAATTTTTCACCTTTAAAAATGACTTTCTTTACAGGTACCCCCCTTTGCAGAAAACGTTGCTTTTTACAGACTTGGGGCCATTGACCAGCTTATTTTGACTGTTTGGCTATGTTTAAAACGAGGTGTTTGATTAATGAAGTTCGATTTAGGCCTATTAAAGACTTTAGGCTGATGATTTGATAACTGTGTCCAACTTATATGTCTTTATCACGAATATATGAAAACCGTTGCATAAGAGTCAAAATATTTTATGAAATAGACTATAAAAGTGCTGAAACTAAGAATTTATCATTGTTGTTATGTGTTTTATATAAATCGTGTGCAGAATATTCAATTCGACGATAGTAAGGAGAAACATGTATTGCCTTTGATTTTTTACCTAATTTTAATATTTTAGGGGCATTTTGGCACATTTTGGCCATTAAAAATACAAAAATTTCGCTAACGTCAGCAAAAATAAGCCCCCCTTTTTTTAAATATGCATAAATACATGCAGTGTTATCGAGGATGAGGAGAAATGATTAAAGACAGAGTCATTGACAGAAGTCTTGTTCTTACAGTAGGTTAATGAACCCTACCCCTTAGGCAGAAGAATAAAAAAAACAGTAAAAATTTGATATAGACTATAGTTTCTTGGCGACCAGCAATTTTCTTCTGATACAGTTTATCACCTAGTACCTTATTAATTTACCGATCCAATTTCTAAAATATCTCGAAAAATACAGTGATGCGCCAGAAATCGTTATTTCGCTTTAGGTTACAAGGAAGTAATTATTTACATAGGCGACAATGGTAGCCTTTTTTGGTCCTGCGTTTTCACTATCAAAGATCCATAGAAAAAAATGTCGAATTCTGAATTATCAACACCTTTGGGTGTAATTGAAACTGCAAAACACATATGGTGCCGCAGCTTTTTTGATAGAAAAATTGCATTTTTTAAGGGTACTCAACGGTTCCGGAATTTTCGAAATAGTATAAACGAAGAACACCCCTTGCTAAATTTGGCACAGAAAATGTTGCTCGTCACAGAGAGTTTTCTCTAAATTTCTCGCTATTTCTACACCTATGGCCAACACTCATTTCTCACTATTTCAATTTTGGTTTCTAATTTCAAGGGCAGTAGAAAATAAATTTACTTCTACCTATTATCATGGATGTAAAATCTAGGTGGCGCCAGTCATCTTTATTTACTTCCTTTTAACCTGTAATCGACCCTGTATTTATATATTTGCCAATGACCAATTTGATTATGTTATTAGAAACTGTTAATACAAGCTATTTCCTTTTGCCAAGATTAAGGATTACACATATTAGGCATATAAATAAACTTGCTCTTTCCATTAGCTCTTCTTTCTCAATGAAAATGTATGTTCCTCCTAAGCGAAACAACTCGTACAAATATATTTCTTAATATAGGGTCAATTACGGAATACGCAATACGAGAGATTATACGACTATTAGAGAGTTATAAGTTATACGAGTCATTTCCCATAGGAGGGATATATTTTGATTGACAATGAAGAGCTTACGGAAAGAACAAGTTTATCGGTGCGTAATGTACAATGTATGTAATTTGTTTCAAATCATTTAATAATATTTTATTTTTGGTTAAGCTAAAAACTTTTGATATCGATAGTTATTTTTTATTCAAAATTGGTTAAAACACCTATATATAATTTTCCACTTTATTATATCATGCTTTGCATAGGCAGACGCCCATGGTGTCAAGTTAGAACCAGACTGAGTCTACAAATGGCAAAGGGAAACATCTTGACGTGATAAAGGTGTGTAGTAATAACAGAATCAATTCGATAATGGAAAAAAGAATACCACTGAAGCATCACTGAAGAGACATTAAATGTCGAAATGTGCTTCTAGTGATGTAAAGTGGTTCTTTTAATGATATTTGAATATATTTGTATTTGTCATTTAAAGGCTCACGAATAGTTTTTAGATTAAGTTATTACACATGTTTTAGTTTCTCATCCTTTCTGTCACCATTTAATGCAGCAGGTTAAGTGATTGTCTCGTCGCTTTTCTCGGGTAATGCTCTGTCGTCCTTTACTTTCGCGATTTTCATTTCATGATTGTAGTGTGGACCAATAAACGACAGCACGACAGGCAAAAGAAATACGGAATACAGTAGCCCAAATACCATTACCATAAACATTACTTTGAAAAAAGAGAAGAAAATAAAGGACTTCGAAAAAGCCAACATTAACACGCCGATTATAGTTGAAAGCGCTCCGTTCAGTATTGGTCCGCCAGCATGGTCAATGGCAATTGCTACTCGCTCGTTTCTAGTTTTCCCTTTAGCTTGCACATACGCATGACAAACATGAGTAGCAAAGTCAACACAAAAGCCTATACACATGATAATATGGATCATTGTAATGGAGCTTAAAGTTAGTCCCCATAAATGCATGAATCCAATCACTGACGTCATAATGAGGACAACTGTGATTGTTATTAAAAGAATCATGACGGGCAGGGGTAAGAAAATTGTTATTACTATAAAAACTACAGCAACACAAATACCAAGTGTTTGCATAGTCTGCGACAAAATAACCACATACTGTTCAAAAAAAATGAACCCAGGCGCATATGCAAACACGGGCAAGGACGAACTACCAACTATATCCCTTATTCGGGTCATCATGTTCCCTTGTTGTGTCGAGGATGCAAGGTTTTCTGTAAGTACATGAAAACGTGACGCTGTTATTGACGTGTCATCGATTGTGACGTCATTGATATACAAGTTACCAGCTGTTGTTCCTAGAAATGTCTGCAAACCGGAAATGAAGTTTGACAGAGACGAATCATCATAACTAGCTGAATCAATATATGCATGCAACCACGAGAGAAAAAACGTGTCATCGATATCAGTGTCGTTTCTAACGTTATCGCGAAGAGAATTAATCATATCAAGAGTTGTCCCGGATAGGTAGTCTATACCGGCTTGTACATTCAATGATATTATGAGGCTTTGGTCATATAATTTAGTTTCGGTATCATAATATGTATAAAAGTATGAATCGGTGGTCACTAGATCCTTCCGATTAAAATCTTGTTCAAAATGGACAGCACCATATATTGATACGGCAACGAATCCGGCAAACAATAATAAAATTATAATTTTTGCAGGAGTAAAAAGCACAACTTTTGTAACAAACTTCTTTGGGTATTTCTCTATAGGACCTTCAACTTCATTTCTGTCCTTATGGGGAGATCCGGAACAACAGAAAATGTCTGCTTTTGATTGGCCTGATTTCTGCATTGCATCCTTTGATTTTATTTTTTGACATGTAAAGTAGTGTCTATTCTGTTTAATTCTGTCCTCGTTGATTGTCATACAACCAAGATAAAACGTGATGTAGTTAAGGTAGCAAAAAAGTATGGCTGCACCTGAAAAGGACGAAACAATCATATATATATATATAAAAAGTTATGACCATGGCCATGAAGAAGATGACGACGACTATGATGACAATGATGATGTCGACGACAATGATTAAAATATGATGATGACAAAGACAACGACAACGATGATGATGATGACGACATAGACGACGACGATGTTTATAATAATGAGACGACATTGACGACGATTTTTATAATGACGATGACTACGGCGACGATAACGGCGATGTTGACGATGATTCTGAATGGCATTCGATAGTAGTAGCAAACATGATAATAGCCGGCAAGGACAACATGTCGACTAATATCATTCCGTCTTCTTTTGTATTTTTGAATTTCTATAATACTCTTTGATGAATTGTAGTGATGTATTTGAAATTGTAGAAGGCAGATTGTTAACACTTTAACTTTACTGTAATTGTACAAATTGCAATCTGTTGGTTATTCACCAGCAAAAGAATGTAATCAAATTCGCTAACAATTGCCGTTATTATAATGTTTTTTGAAGACTGTTATTGAAATCTGATGACAAACTCATCATGTAACCTAATATTTGTTTAAAATTCTTATTTCGCATGTAATAGATAAATTTTTCTTTGAATTTTTGTTAATAATAATACTCAAACAAGGCTATAAATAAATCTCTTTACGTTAAATTGTATCCTGAAATCGATACTTCATTTGTATAATACAGCTGATGCTCAGGTGTGCTTCTTGATTACGTCATTTGGGTTTTTTTAATTTTCGATCCACGTCAGATAATGTTGGATTTGCAAATTGCGGTTTCGAACACTGCGATTTAGCTAAAGTAAATGTTGCTTAACCTGAAGTTTTGTGTGGAGTGTTTTGTAAACTGCATTTTTCACTTTACTTTTTACTTTTGATTTAAGGTAGATAAGGTGTCTTCCTCCATCTTGGATTTTGAAATACCAGAAAACAATCGGTCTAGATCTTGAATAAAAGGTGCAAATTTTGAGAGTAGTAGGTAATTCATGTGTAAGAATTTTCAATTCAATATAGAAAATGACATATTTTATCATATTTATGGTTGTATTTTACAAAAAAACAGAATACTTTTGTTTGATTCTATTTTTTCCAACTCAAATGTAAGAGCAGATAATTCAGATAAAGTTACTTTTACAATAGAATGTGTTAGGAATTTACCTATTTTATTATGTAGCAAAAAAACGGGTCCCGTGACCCCATTTTTTCTTTTTCTTATCTGAAAGCATAGTATTAGAGCTATATTCTCATATTTTATCTCAAAATTCTATGGCGTAGTTTTCGTTTTATGGCAGAAAATTGGGTTTTCCATGCATAATCTATACAAAATCTGTCAATTTTGCACAACCTATAGCGTGAAAATAAGCCCCATGACCCATTCTTTTTATTATTTCTTTTTAAAAAGCATGATATAAACTACATTTTGGCAAATTATTAAAAAATTCTATGGATTATAATTTAGACACCCCATCTACCTTAATAAAGTCAGTCCGTTGACTTTTGCCTTTTGAATGTCCCTTGACATTTTCTTATCGTTTTAACCGACAGCGTTGAAACTTGGACTGATCATTGGCCATAGTTTATTTTGTTCTTGACCTGAATATGCATTACCATTTTTTTATTGAACGTTAAGCAAGCAACAATCTATCAGTGGACATGGCTTGTATATATGCTGTTTCAATAAAGTTGTTGTTGACTTGAAAGCTGTTATTGATGAGGGGCGTAAAGGGGGGGGGGGGTATCTGCACGGAAGAACGCGAAATAAAATTGCATTTCACGATGAACGAACAATTAAAAATTTCTTGCACGTTGATCTTTTTACCGATTTCACGAAACACGGTGAATAACGAACCTTTTTCACGGCTGCACGTGAAATAAAAATGGCAAAACACGATGCACGAAAATAACCGTTTACCACCCTCATTGATAATTACCTGATATTGGAATATAGAAAACCATTTTTTTTCAGTGAAAATTAAAGTATGACTAAACACATACATACCCGTAAACCAAGAAAAGTTTCGAACTGCTGGAAACACAGACGAGGCACCTGCACAGAAAGCGATGACGTCAGTTAGTGATGTAATAGTAATTGCGACACCACTTGATTTCATTGTCAGTCCAATGCGTGTTTCAGTGTCTAGCTCTGGTGATGTTGCTGCTAAACCAGACAGTAAGATAAACATATCATCTACACCGATTCCTGCAAATATATTTACAGCATAATTTTACATCAAACGTCTATTAATCTACAATTGTAATGCAGCGAGTTATACATTTTCATTTTTTCAATTAGTCCTTTAAATAAATTACTTGAGGTTAAGGTCTGGGCGGAGAGGGGCGTCATTTCTGTATTCTTTAATTCTTAGGGTAATTTGACTCTATTCGTTATTTTGTCTCCCGTTATTTTTTTAATCTTTATTCTTTACAATAAATCCCCCATGATTCTGTATTCTTCTTTATGCCCACTTTATCTATCCTTTATTTTTTCGCCAATTTTTTTCTTTTATTTTAACCCCCTCTAGACGCTCAAGTTTTTAAAGATTTCTATAATGACTGCTTGCACGTTCTTTATCCCTACATTTACAAACCTTATGCAAGAGTATGGTGTTATGTACGGAATCTTTATTACAACACTACTGACTTCGTAAGTTCATTTATCATGGTAAAACTGGGTTTGCATTGCAAAATAGGGGATTACGCAATGAAAATTCATAACAACTTAAGTAAATCAAAACATTAGATTTGTATAAGCAGAGATTAAATATTTGCTACCTAGAATTCGTTCCCCTTTTCAAAAATCTAAAATAATTAATTGTAAACAAAGTTGTTAATTTGAAAATGGACGTTGGCGTTTCACATCAATTTAACTCATGCATGTGTGTTTATTTAAAATCAATGTATACACAATAATGGAACAGTTTTCCAGAGGCAAACATTAGAATTACGTATAATAACATTTACTTACCTAAGATTAAAAAAGGCATTGTTCCAACAATGCTGGCAAAGAGTACACCAACAGCACTAATGAATCCTAATGCCGCTACAATAGCCATTCCAGTAGACAACACTCCAGCCATTGCAATGTTATACCGGTTCGATACACAATTACCTCCAAACAAAACGAAACCACTAAATGTTATCATTAATGTAAACGTGATAGAAAAGAATGCGATGTCTCCTGCAACATTGGCATTCAGTTCTTCGTCTGTGCTTCTAGAGTGAGCAAATTCGAAATTCAAATTACTACTGCTGTACGTTTTAATTCGGTCCAAAAAAGCATCCTCCCAAGCATCAGCGAGTTTTGAGTTGGTATTGGCAAGGTTAAATTTTAATTTAACAGCTGTTGCTGATGTCAGATATCCCCCTGACGATCCGGTTTCGGCAAATGTGTTGTCTATGGTAAAAGTCTCACCGGAAGTCGTAAATTGTGGGTAAGAAACAGTTCCGCCAGCAAGGGCAGTGGTAAAGTCGGAATCAAGAATATAATTTCCGTCTATTACGCATGATGAAAATCGTTTTGCACAGAGGTGAGTGAAATTGTATGATGTACCAGACGAGGATATTGTTGTATCAATAACATAATCCCTCAAGGTGGTTAGGTCGCTCCATATTGCAGAATCAATCATGTTGCCGCCATTTTTCTTCTGAATTATGACTACTGCAGAACTACCGAGGTTCACTAGACTTTGTGCGTAGTAATTTGTAGACGTGTCCACCGTAAACATACTTTTAACCTGAAAAAATATTTAGGATAAAAGAAATAAACAGCTACATTAGGAACGTTTGATAAACATTATTGAGAGTGCATGCATATTGTTTTTCAGATAAAACACATCTGATTAAAATAACAAAAAAAAAAACAGTGTGTAAACGTTTCATTGGGATAAGTAAAAGCATACTTACGTTATCTTGAAATACTTAGTCCATACCAAACCAAACATTATGAAAAAATCATTATCGAAAACTCATGCAGAATTTTTGGAGATTAAAGTTCCATAACTCCGGAACGACTAAATTGAAAATCATCAATTAAATGTAATTCAAGTAATTTTCAATCATTTCAAAATTCTGTTAATAATGTTAATCATTTTATAGAGGAATATGACTGTGCATTTAGTTCAGAAGTTTCAAATCAACATCACTATGACGCTCTATAAACATTTTAGAAAAGACAAATTTGACTTAAAATTGGAATTTTACTCGTACTATTTGACAAAATTAGATCCGAGCAAAGGCTCAACCGAAAACATTAGCATCTTTGTATAAGACATCCTGAATCAACATATCTTTTTGGTTTTTATCATACTTGGCTCATATATAAATATCAATGAAAAAGGTCAAAGTAAGGTTATGTTGCCAGTTTTGCATTAAATGCAGAAAATTTGAAATTTTGAAGTAAATATATATACGACAAAAAAATATTAATATTGATATCTAGCTGACTGCTGTCTAGTTAACAGTTTGATAGATTTGACTTTGTAATACATTCTAATTTTCAAATTCTTCTTCATGTTACATGCACGACCATTCAGATGATTAATTTTCAATGCTATATTTATTAATAAAACGATAGCAACCCAACAATAAAACTACCCCAAAAAGACATCTAGAGAGCACCCTACAGTCTATATCATAAGACAGGTGTCTATACCAACATAATCGTCAAACACTTATAAACCGTCACGCGTCTATAAATACTGACTTATTTTGTCTTTTCTTCGTCCTACAGATTTTTAAAATTCTATTTTTCATTTATTATTAAAATAAACGACTCGGCGATATTCTGATTAATTTGATTTTTTTTTTTTATGATTTTCCTACATTCAGCTCTTTTCCTCGATTGTGTCATCATTGTGGGAGATCAATCATCGAATTTGAACTAACAATAAAAAAAACATGAAGGGGTGATACATGTCGAACAAGATTTATTTACCCTTCCGAAGTACCTGAGACCCACTCCCCAGTTTTTGGTGGGGTTTGTGTTCCTCAGTCTTTAGTTTTCTATGTAATGTTTTGTGGACTTGTTTGTCTTTTTCCGTCAGTTTCTCTTCGACTTATGAGTTTGAATGTCTACTTGGTATCACCAGTCTCTTTATTTACCATTTAATAATGACCTGTAGTGTCCCCTGATCAATACTATACCTTGGACATTTAATCGTCCATATATTTGTAATTAAATGATACAGGATTTTGCTAAAAAATATCCTTACAAGCTCCCGTTGTTTCATTGAAGTACTGTCTGTCGGAGCATACTGTTCTAGACTTGTATCTTGAGTCAAGTTGATGAGACCGATGCCAAATCCTATGTCTACTATAACAACAAATATAATGGCCTTCCAGGGATGTCTCGCCACAAATTTACCATATTTCTCAAAAGCACCACCAAAAAACGCTTCTACTTTCAGATGGAGATCATAGAAACACTGCAAAAAAAAATCATTAACGAAATTTATCTCTAATAACCTCTTCTATTCCTTTGAATATAACATAAAAATACCGGTTGGAATCATTATTTAAAAAAGATAAAAGTAATAAATCATAATTTAAAATTAAATATATATATATATTTCCAGCAGGGCATACATCACATACCAATATGACTAAACATGTACACAGCAAAATTAGTTATATTTTTCCGATGAAAGAGTCTCGATGCCCTATTCGGAACTATTCGGATTAAATAGCTGTACAAGTTTAATATTTTCGGATCACTACTATTTGACTGGCAAGAAATATAACTTCATCTAAATATTTGCATGCCAAAATCTTCTGATATCTTGCTAGGGGACGACCAATTGCTTTTCAGGGCCAAGGAAGATGGGGCAGGAGGAATTTGAAAATGAATATCCTGGCCTGGTAAGAGCTAAAAATAAATAACCTTGAATAAGACAAGATGAAAATGAATATTCTGCAACACAAAAGGCAGGAATCAATCGTGTACAAATTTCCGCGGGCAAAGCTGCCCAAAAAATAAACATGCATAGCAACAGATGAAAATGAATAGTCAATTCGAAAAAAAATCGTCCTAACCCATCTCCCAGAATATTAGAAGTAAATAATACTTACAGACATTGTTATAGCTCAAGGAAAATATATCAACAGTCGGAAGTTCCTTTTAAATCATACGTGCATGTAATCGTATTCCCATGGTAACTGAAAAAGATGCTGTTTTCAATATTAAAATAATAGCATACTCAATAAAGATTTATGAAGAAAAGATAATGGGTATTCGTGACAACAACAAATATAGTCAGTTCGATAGCTTGATTTTATTTTTTATGTTCTATACATACGCATAATCTTATTCCCATGGTAACTGAGGGACATGATATGAATAAATGGAGACGAAGTTCATTTGTCAATGAGACAGCAACTAAACGACACAAATAAAAAAAGAAAATTAATCTATAATGATTACCATTGTAACGGCCTTGGACTTTAGACAGGTTTTCTGTCTAATATGTCGCGTACGCTTTTATACCATTATTCGCTCTGAACGGACGAAAGGTGTGAACAAAAGTATATAAGAATTTCAAAGATTTGACATCACCACCAAATTCCCTCGGGCAAGGATTCATAGTATGTAGTCCTATAACATATGGCCTCGGGGGCATTATTTACTATTTCAATTTATTTTTGATATTTTCTTTTTACTTATTTTGATGGGTTTTTTTATTTACAATTTTTTTTACTATTAAAAAAAAACCAAGTACTATCTTAAAAAAAAGATATCTGACGCATTCAGATGTGAGCTGAGAGTTTAAAACAAACCATGAATGGGTTGTTGTTGTTATTATTATCTCATATGGTTGGAGAATTAACTACACAAAAAAAAACATTTAATTTTCTAATTTCCTGTATGGTTTTCCCCTGTTTTATCACTTGTGTAATCGGACAGTTAATTGTCCAAATACATTAAAAATTTTGTTATTCACAAAACAACTATGAAATTAAAGACGTATAATTATACGTTTTTGCCAATTAGCGTAAGTTTAATACACCCATATATATGTTAATACTATGAAATTCAAATCGGATAATTATACGTTATTGACCATTGCCTTTTAAAAAGCCAATTAAAGTACCTTAGGCTTGTAACAGTTACTGTAGAGGATGATTTCCCATCCAAATCTTCAATTTATAATACATCAACTGGACGAAAAACACATATTATATCAGTGTCCGCGACATGTGTTATCCCCTGGTGGTTCTTAAAAACTTTTTTCTGGTTTTCACTTTTATTTCTATTGAAAAATATCAAAATTGTGTCGGTCCTTTGCAAACTTTTGTTGGTCAAATCCTTCGGACCAACAATTTTCGCGAACTCTGCATGATATTGTTTTATTAATTTATTCTATATGTAATCACTCAACCCCATTTTATGTGAAAATCAAATTCACAGTTTATGTATTACACTGAAAATCTCTACAATAACGTAGGCTTAGCGAAAATGACTGAGTAGTTACGGTTGTTAAACTGAATTACTCAAAACAGAATATTTTCTTACCTACACTATATATATCAGTAGGCAAGTGAAACCCGTTAAACAAATTAATTATGGAAGACTAAATGACATGCGTTTTTAATAATAGTCTTTGATTAGGTTTTTAACATTAAATTAAAGATCCGTGACAATAACAACCGACTTATAACCTTGGACTTTAAATGCCCTTCTCCATACACCTTTAACAGTTTAAGTTCACTATAAATTATGCCAATGACAAACAAAAATAAATGTTAACAATAAAGACATTTTTAGTATTTTTTTTAATTGGTAGCAGAGTTATTATTAATTTTACATGTTTAAGCCATTGCAAATGGTGAGTCTTATACAATACAACTTTAATGTCATACCTTCAACTTTTGGTACTTCTTTGTTTCTATATTACAACCGGTGAGAAATAAAGGGGTACGGACAATCCCCCCTGACTATGTTTCACTTACAGTGGGAAGTTGTTGAAGCGTAGCGGAATTTAAATTATGCAGAGTTTAAAGATTATGATACTTGAAAGATTTTTCACCAACTTAATGCTGCGTTCACACATATAACTGATTATAGATCACCGTTTGAAATCTAACAGCGCTACAACACGAAAAGTGAAAAAGGCGCTTATGAGTCTGTAATGGTCTCTAGAGGTTAGCAAAGCACTCATGACAGTTAGGTGCGTCCTGTTACATTCGGGAAACTCAATCGATTATGTCTATCGTGACTATTTCGTAACAGAATCTGCTGTATCGTGAATATGTCGTAACAGATTCTGCTGTATCGTGGCTATGTCGTAACAGATTCTACTGTATCTTGACTATGTCGTAACAGATTCTGCGGTATCATGACTATGTCGTAACAGATTCTGCTGTATCGTGGCTATGTCGTAACATATTCTGATGTATCGTGGCTATGTCGTAACAGATTCTACAGTATCATGACTATGTCGTAACAGATTCTGCTGTATCGTGGCTATGTCGTAACATATTCTGATGTATCGTGGCTATGTCGTAACAGATTCTACAGCTAGTATCGTGACTATGTCGTAACAGAATCTGCTGTATCGTGAATATGTCGTAACAGATTCTGCTGTATCGTGGCTATGTCGTAACAGATTCTACTGTATCTTGACTATGTCGTAACAGATTCTGCAGTATCGTGACTATGTCGTAACAGATTCTACTGTATCGTGGCTATGTCGTAACATATTCTGATGTATCGTGGCTATGTCGTAACAGATTCTACAGTATCGTGACTATGTCGTAACAGATTCTGCTGTATCGTGACTATGTCGTAACAGATTCTGCTGTATCGTAACTATGTCGTCACATATTCTGCTGTATCGGATAAAAATCGTAACAATGTCTTGTGTCTGTTCACCATCTGGTCACTGTTAACTGATCAATTTAAGGAAGTACCCAACACATTTACTAAAATATATTTGGCTCGTTTAATTTTCATTAAATTTTGACAAAATATAAATTTATTTTTGACCTGTTGGCAAAAATATAAAAAAAATCAAGAAATTTGAACCACACAATCAACAGGAATAATTTTATTGGATATACAGCAGTTTGACAAACACCAATTTTGATCATTGAGAAGCTTGATTTCTCTTAACTAATCGTACGTGATTAAAACCTTCGGCTGATTTTTAAAGAGTTAACTCCCTTGTGTGTTCTGTACCCCCTTAAACGGGAATGGTCTTACCAAGGACAGCAGTAAAAAGCCTGATGTGTCCATTGTAACTTAATACGTTTCAATAAAATTTGAAAAATAAATCAGCATTCATGTTGCTGTAGCATGCAATTTTGAAACAATGTTGCAAATTCTACATGTTTATTTTAAACTTTCATCAACGGATATTGTTAATCAAAGTGAATTTATTTGCATCAAATGGCATTGTTAACCAAACTGAAAGTGTTTTTTTTTTTTTTGCATCGAACGGTATTGTTAACCAAGTGAATTTATTTGCACGATGAAATTGTTGGAACAGGGAACCAATTATTTCCCCCATTACTTCAATTTAATTTGATCAGAATTGCAGGGTATTCCCTATAATATTTGACTGCCAAACTTCAATTACTTTCTCATACCAGTAGCCCCCTTCATGGTTTCGTGGAGAATTCTTGAAGGGTCATAACTGGCATCTAAGAGACCAATACTGTTTTGAGTATTGATAGGGTCATTTTATTCACTTCTTGATAAAAAGCGAAAATAAAATTTGAACCATTTACTCAGACAATTATCCACCCTATACATTTCAGAATCACATAAAATTTATCAGAAGTTCAAAGTTAAATGAATACCCTTTGAATATATTAAAAAGTTAAGCATCTTTACATAATTTTCATCTCGGTACAATATCCCATTTAAAAGATGGTAGATTTATCAAGGGACTTCATTCGTGAGTACTGAACTGTTATCCTGTAACTGGGATCTTATATCTGTTAACCAAATGAGTTAATGTTTATCTTGAAGCCAATTCATATATTTAAATCCTAATTTATTATTTTGTTGAATATTCAAATAGACATTGTACAATATTATTTAGTTAAAACCCAAAAGTACACACATAAAGCTGTGAACTGTACATGATACGGGTTATGTTCTTCTCATATATTTCATGATGGCATGATACTAAACCGCTAACGGTATGGATTGTGCTTGATTTTCATATGATGAAGACATAATCTTTCAATCAGTTTAATTGAGGTCTGGAGCTGGTATGTCAGTAACTGCTAGTAGCCCTTTATTAATTTATGTTATCATTTTCATTTTGCTTAGTTTCTTCTGTTACCTATTCTAACATCGGACTCGGACTTCCTTTAAACTGAGTTTTACTGTGCATATTGCTATGTGTTTGTTTATTCTATATTGGCTAGAGGTATAGGGGGAGGGTTGAGATCTCACAAAACATGTTTAACGCCGCCGCATTTTTGCGCCTGTCCCAAGTCAGGAACCTATGGCCTTTGTTAGTCTTGTATGTTATTTAATTTTGGTTCATCTATATGATTCGGAGTTTAGTGTGACGTCCATTTTCTCTGAACTAGTACACATTTTGTTTAGGGGCCAGCTGAAGCCTGCCTCCGGGTGCGGGATTTTCTCGCTGTGTTGAAGACCCATTGGTGGCCTTGGGCTGTTTTCTGCTATTTGGTCGGGTTGTTGTCTCTTTGACACATTCCCCGTTTCCATTCTCAAGTTTATGTTTATTTCAGTAAAGATTGAAAGAGGTTGAACAATTGCCCTACTGAAACAGTCAATTCTGCTAACAATGGCTTTTAATTAATAACATATGTATTGTCCTTGCAACTTGCCAAGTTGGTATAAACACACATGTTCGACCTTGAAGAAAAAGTTTGAAAATATTTTGATTTAATTATTCAGTAAGGGGGTAAATATCGTATCCAATTACACAAGGAAAATGTCACTGACCGAAGTTAAACTATGATACGGAACAAATAGACCATACCGCGGTGCCCTTTAAAGCTTACTTGACTGTATGGTTTTCGATAAATTTTGAAGGCCGTACGTTGACCTTGTTTAAATCCTTGCCCTAAGGCTTTATTGTTTGGCGGATAATTGCCAATCATGCAAACTTTCTTTGTTTTCATACTCAATAAAAACAGTCACGTCATTCAGGAAAAAGACAAA